AGGCAACTTGCTGTAATGAACAGGATGTGAGGGACACCACCACAGGCACTGTGCTGTAGAGAGCAACTCAAGAAAGGACTGGAAAACCGTGCAGCAGTTAGAGGGAGGGTGGAACGAAAGGTGATGACCCCTGTAGAGTCTGCACTGGCTCCTCTGGGGATCTGAAGAGGGAAACCAAGAGTGTTTGTAGTTTCCAGAAATAGGACGTATTGCCAGCTTCTTTCCGTACTCTGTCTTAGCCTGGCTGTGGGAGAAGAACAGGCAGGCACATGCAGGCTGACTTTCCTGCTTGTGACAGCTCCAGATTACAAATGTGCAGAACCAGATTACAACACCAGCATTCCCAGGCCCCGGCAGCAAAGTGGGGTGAGCTGGGATGAGGTGAAGGAAAATCCTAAAAGAAAGGAAAGTAGAGGAGATCATGAGATGAAGAGGAAGTAGGCTGGTAGATATGGTCCTCAGGTGTGGGAAAAGGCTGTGTGGAAGACAGGACAAGGGCCCCAGACAAAGTCTTGTGTTGCCTGGGCGTGTGTCTGAGAGAGATGTGGGTGTGTTTGCAGAGGAAGCTGTGGGGGCATGTGTGTGTGTGCACAGTGCACGGTAGGGAGGGGTTTCATTGAGGCAGGAGTGGGAGGGTGTGTGCAGTAGGGTGTGGAGTGTGGGGGTGGGGAGAAAAGAGCGAGGAGCAAGGGAGGACTTGTATGGAGTGCCAGGAACACCCATTCCACAGAGGAAAACTGCCAGCTGCCAGAGAGTCAAATCTCCTTTATGGGAACGGATCGGCTCCCCACAGTGGATTTTGGCCACAGATCCTACCCCAGGAATCTTGCCAGATGTTTGACCCATGAAGGGAGGAACACAGTTTCTGGGTTTTTACCACACCCTGATCCATGATCTTTCCCAGGGACTGATGTTTTTGCTTGTGTATTATCACAGCGTTGGTCACAGAGCAGCCTTTCTTGGCAGACAGTCTAGTGAACAGAACAGTAAATCAGAAAGAAATACTTTCTAGTCTTGATTTCATTGTGTGCTTTTTGATGGCCTTTGGAACCCTACCATAATATTTCTGTGCTTGATTCTAAATTTTCCTAGTAACAAGGAAGAGTATATCAACCAGCTGAGGAAAATGTGGTGTAGAATTAATAACTGCAATGATGAAATAATTATAAGGACCGATGGGTGACAAATTTTAATCCAGTATGAGAGAGAACTTGTACTACTTAGAAGTGTTCAAACCTAGGAGAAATTGATGTAGGAGAAAGTATACATCATGTCATTAGAAGTATCCAGACAGAAGATGAGCAGCTGTTAGGTATTTAGGGGGAATTCCCAAAGCAAATAAAAGGTGTACTTAAGATACTTAAGGTACCCAAAGAGTTATGCAAAAACTCTGAGATGTTATAATGCTAGAATTATTATTATTTTTTTTAAAGTTTATTTGTTTGTTTGGTTATTTATTTATTTTGAAAGAGAGACAGAGAGAGAGAGAGACAGAGAGAAAGGAAGAGAGAGAATCCCAAGCAGACTTTGTGCTGTGAGGACAGAGCCCGATGTGGGGCTCTATCTCACAAGCCATGAGATCATGACCTGAGCCGAAATCAGGAGTCGGGTGCTTAACTGACTGAGCCACCCAGGTGCCCCATAATTCTAGAATTACACAGTACTTTAAGCAATACAGAATTATTTCAAATATTAAGATGCCCTGGATATGGAATAACCAAAGCACTAAATGATCAACTAACAAAGACTGTCTCTGTGTTTAGCACTGTTATTGGATAGGCTCTATGTACAGCATAAAGGTAGAGAGAACCTGAGGTCCAAGTTTTTCACTGTAGCCCTTAAACAAACTAAATACAGAGAAGAAGGCTATGCTATACACCAAGGAGAAGTATTCAATAAAAACAGGCTAGAACTCTTGTCAGTCATTCCTGAATAGTTTGTTTCTAAGAGCGATCCAGTCCAACTTTATGTAGTACTGAAAGAATGCTAGAAGTTTCCTCTTCAGTGATTAAAACTCTCAGATGTTTGCTGACCACCCAGTTCAGACACATACTAGGTGCTTGCTTGAGAGCTGGTACAGAAGTCTTTAGAACTTCCTTAGCTTCCAAAAACTGTTGATAAGTTTTCTCAAACATTAATGTGCATTTTAATCATGGGGACCTACTAAAATGTAGACTCTAAATCAGCAGGTATGAGGTAAGGCTTAAGATTCTGTTTCTTTCTTTTTCAAAATTTTTAATTTTTTTTTTTTTTTTTTTTGAGAGAGACAGCAAGTGGGGGAGGCGCGGGGCGGAGAGAGAATCCCAAGCAGGGATTCACACTGACAGTGTGAAGCCTGATACGGGACTTGATGCAGGGCTTGAACTCATGAACCGTGATGTCATGACCTAAGCCAAAGTCAGACACTTAACCCACTTAGCCACCCAGGTGCCCCAAGATCCTATTTCTAAGAGATGCTGATGATGTTCATCAAAGAAGCAAGGCTATGGATGAAGGCTGTCAGGAAATTACAAGTACTCCCATATTTTCCTGGGCAAGCGCACACAGTGCATCAGAAGGGTAAAATTCAATTCTACCCCATCCATAGAATCACAAAATTAGTAGTACAAAAGGAGAAAAGCCTTGCAAAGCCATCTAAAAAACATAATTTGGTTATTTTCACTGGCCAAAAATTTATTATGTGAGGGAGTATCAGATCTGTGTGGGCTAGACAGGGGTCTCCTTACGGTGGTGATAATATGATCTATTAGGATAAATGTCAGGGATTTCTTGGGAATTCCAGACTACTCTGTCAAGTAGATAAACTTTGTTTTTTTTAGTCCCTTCTTACCCTTTGTCTCTTCCTTCTTAGAACACACCTTTCTATAAGAGGGAACATTGAACTTTTCCCTCAGGACTTTGACCTCAACTAATTTTCTTCATTTCCTCTAAGGACTCAGATGGTAAATAATTTAAGGTGTGACCCTTCCCAGGGAACTCTAGACACAAAAGGATAAAGCTCTATCAGCATATGTCAGAACTATGACAGGTATAAAAGTATATTTTGATACGAGGGCTTACTTAAATAGCCTTTTACTTCTTCCACAGGCTGACCTGACTCAGGATAAAAGGAGTGGGGAGCAGTAGGTATTGGGAAGAGTCATTGTTAACCATTCTCTGAATGGTTACTTATTTATTTTGCACCAATGAATCGGAAATAATTAGATTCGACCCTGTTTCTCACCTCAGAATAGAGAGCAACTAATGTCATACCGTATATTTTTAACTATACCAGAAATGTAAAAATTACTGGCTTCATCCATTCACAGCTTAGCTCTCCAGTAATACTGTCCATCCAGGACACAATACAAATGAAGAATTATGCAAAAAGTTCCCTGAACCAGCAAAACGGATGCCATTAAATTCCTATGTGAAAGCTCATGAGAGCTAAAGGTGTTGGTATTCATATAATCAGTATCTCCCACTTAATGTCAGTAATCCATTAGTGACAATAAGATGTTCCATGTAAACAAAGCTGACTGGAAGCCTATTTCTCATTATTTCAAATGGGAAAAATTATAATGTGTTGCGCATCAGCCCTAAACCACCAGCAAATTACTTAAAAGGGAATGAAAACATGGTAAAATGTGTATAGTACATGTTATGATGTAAAATGACTAAACAATGCTTGTTGATCATCCAAGAACTGAGACGGTTTTTAACAGCTGCTTTGTATGCTGTGATGTCTCTCTTAGTACCCGTGACAGAGAAAATTACCTTTGTTGACAATATATACTTTTTAAAGTGTGTACACATGATTCTGACTTTCTATCAGTTGTGTTTCTTTTCCCACTTACTGCTTTTTAAAAGTGTTCTATTGAGTGTTGAGTATGTAAATATACACTTATCCGAAGATTTATGGGAAAAACGTGTATTTACATACTGAAAACTCAATAGAACATAGAATATATATATATATATATATATATATATATATATATATATATATATATGAAGTTGGGTGTCAAAACCAAGAGGAAATTCTATAAGAAAAATGTTCACTGGGGAGATGTTTGTGGCATATGTCTAGTGGTATGCTGGAGCCTACTTATAGTAGTTTGCAAGAACCAATGGCTAAATTTTCAGTAATTTAGCAAGCTGGCTGATATCACATTGGTAATTTGAAATTGGCCATGGTGGGAGTATTTATACCACAAAAGTAGGCAAATGATACAAATCAGGGACTCCTCCCACCCCCATGAGAGCTGGTTGCTAAGCATTTACCAGTTGAGTTACCACTGAGTATGCCTATACAGTATTTCACCAGATGTAAGATACCATTGGTTGTTGGGCGGATTATAGTATGTCATAGTAAAAATAATCCCCAAACATCATTGGTTTACACAATGAAAGCTTATTTCATGCTACAATGAGGGTCACTTGGGGCTTCTCCTCTACTAGGTCACTCAGGAGCCATATGCTGATAAAGTCTCCATCACCTCTATAAGAGGCTTCAGGGTCTACTGTGCTGACAGAAAAGTCATTTGAAAGTCAAGACCTAGTTTTTATATACTTTGATCCAGAAATAACACAAGTCACTTTCCACCCATATCCCTCTGGCCAGAACTAGTCATGTGGCACAACCTACTTAAAAGAGCCCTGGGAAGCATAGGGAACAGATTAGGTAAGCACCACTGGTGCAGTCACACACACCATTACATTATATGTCTCTGAGGAAAAAAAAAATACCAATTAAACTATGACTTAAGGCTTTTATTATAACATAGAATGAGTTATTTGGATATATAGTTTTTTGGGGTGTTTGTTTGTTTATTTGTTTGTTTGAGAAAAAGAGCACACACACAGGAGACAGAGGGAGAGGGAGAGAGAGGGAGAATCTGAAGCAGCCTCCACGCTCAGCACTGAGCCTGACACAGGGCTCCATCCCACAACCCTGGGATCGTGACCTGAGCCAAAATCAAAAGCAGGACTCTCAACTGAGCCACCAATGTGCCCCTGGACAAAGATTTAAGAAAATCATTTATCATGCATACCAAAGGGTAAATTAGTCAAAACAAATTGGTTTAACTATTCTCTAAAATTTCTTCACATGTAGAAGCTGGTTCCTCTGAATCACTTTTGGATGCAGAGTCAACTGGTATCTCCACAGCGTATCAGACACTGTGCCACCAAGAACATGAGCGAGGTGGCATTTCCTAAGAGGGCTCCATTACTGTCTCTAATACTTTTTTCCAAACCACTGGCACCCATTATAAAAGTTTTAATTCTGGAGCTTTATAGGTCCTACTGGAAGCTATTCATGGAAGTTTTTCAGACCACACGTTTATACCCCCACCTCAAGTATCCTCAAATGACATTGTCTGGAGCTGTGCAGTTGTCCAGTTAGACCCTGACAGGAAAAACCAAGTCACTATCCTTTCAGTGAGCTCGGTTTTATAATGGACTAATTTCTCACAGATAGAGGCAACTGTGTCACGAATCCTGCTTGGCTGAGTGTGATTTGAGAAGCCATAGGTTGTAAGATACGTTGATTATAGAGATGTTGAATATACAAAATAAATAGATTAAATGTATTTTAGACCCTATTAAATATCATACTTAACTAAGAGGGATGACTTAACCTTAGCCTTAAAGATTTTTGAAAACATGATGAGCAGAAAGAAGAAGAAAAGCACAGCGATTTCAAAGCTATACGTTGTTTTCCTTTCAAGAGATGGAAGCTGCAATTCACCTGCAGGACAGAATGTTTTCGTATTTTGGAAAAATAATCAGAATGAGTCATTTAGGTGTTCATACGTAAGCAAAGGCCTTGTCTTACATTGGTGACTCTGTGTTGCTAAACATCCCTGTGTTATAATTCAACAACAAATGCCCGTTTTGCAATCTGCAGAGTTGCATCTCTGAGCATTGTATCTCCCTTAGACAAATATTTATTTTCTTTAGCATATGAACTTAGACTATATTGTGCCTGAAAAGTATTACTTATTTACTTAGAGATTTGTGCGCATTGTTGTCCAGAAGCAAAATCTGGAGACTGCATGAAGAATGAGCAGGCAGGGCCTCCTGTGAGTGGACAGACCACACAAAGGAGCAGAAAGGACTCAACCAGGCCAGGACTATCAGTGCCTGTGGGCAATATAAGGTTGAGTTGTCTAGAGTGTATTGATGTTGGGCTGTTGTGTTTTGATGCATTATCCTACTGGGAACCATGGGATAAGTAAGATACTGGTACCAATGAGTGATGATTGGAAAGGTTGGCCTTGAACTGGAAGGAGGAAACATCTCCTTTCCATCTCTGGAGCTTGGCTTGGGCTTGTGTTTGGAGTTGTGCGGTTGTTAGATCTGCTTCTGCGGTTGGAGTGAGCTGCACTGGGGTGGGAACCAAATAGGCATAAACTCAGAAGGGGTCTGAGCCTCCCTGAGTTCAGGGGTAAGCACATCTGGCAGCCAAACCTAGCAGCAGTTAGACAATGTGCTCCTCTTCTGTTATTCCCCAACCTTCAGTTAAGCTTGTTAGTAGTGCAGCCTGGTCTCCGGGGGCTCTAGTGAATGAAGGGAAGATCTGTTTCACAGCTGAGATGAAATGACACAGAACAGAGTGAGCGCTTTCCTCTGGAGTCAAAGAGGTGAGGGCAGCATATTAGGAAGGAAAGGTTTCTTCCTGGAAGCCAATCACAATCTGAGAACAGAAGCCTGAAGTACAGGGAAGAAGATCAAAACTTTTATCTAAAGTAAGCAGAAATACTCAAAGCAATGAAAAAAAATTAATGCAATAGCTCCATGGGACCAGGTTATAGTCAAACAGTGACATGCACTCTTTTACAGCCCAGTACAATATTGTGCATTTGTCATGAAAACTCCAAGTTCTTAAGAAAAAGTTGAGTTGGACAAACTCAGTTTAAGATCACATCAAAGTACATACTGCCATTGAGACAGATTTTTACACAATTTGTTAGTATAAAGAATGTACTCACGACATAATAGCTTCACTCTCAGATATCTGGAAACCTTGGCTATTTTTCCCTGAAAAACCTGGACAGTTATTTTGCTCATCCAATTCACGGCACTGGCATTATAGGACATCTCGGTATTTTCCCTGAAAGCATTTGGAGACGTTCCCTGTGTGTTTCTAACAATGCTCTAACAGCTCATATGAATCTAACAAGCATGAATTTATCTAAATCTTTCTTTATCCTATTTATATTTGTGGACTACGCAACATCTTGAGGATAATGAGTTCCATATGTTTACTACCCACTGTATAAAGTAATGCCATCTTTTATTTATCTTTAAACTACTTTCATAGAATTTCAATGGGTGCCCTTGAGTTTTAGCATTCCAGGATTTGAGGATGTTCTCACTCTGGGGCCCCAGCTAGCACAGACAGGGCTTTATGCAGAGGAGGAAAAAGCACCCTCTGGCATTCAGTTTAGGAATGGGTGCTCCGCCTTTCAGGCAGATGTGGCCTTGTTCCAGGGGCATGGTTCAGTGAGCAGAACACGGCTAGATTTCAGACCCAGTGTGGCCCCCGCTCCGTCCCCCATTCCTCACTATGCTCTTGGCCAGGTGCCCTTGCAGCATCCAACTGGTACAATGGCATGCAGCAGCCTTGAACCTCACCACATAGATCCTTTAAAGACTTTACAGATTTTGATAATAAACTCTCTCCGGTTTTGCCTTCCTGAGATATCTTAGTCTTCCCGTTTGTTCCCAATTTAGAGCTATTGAGCCTTCTCTGCCTTTCTTGGGATGTGGGGTTCAGGCTGAGAAGCAGCCCCAGACACTTTCTGCCTTCTTCCTGGGACCCTCAGGATCCAGTGACCGTCAGCAGGCTGCTGGGCTTTAGAGCAGCCACAAAACAGAGGCCAGAGCAACAAGTCAATAATAAATTCTATTTCCAGGGTTTCAAGTGGATAATTCAGAGATGATCATCTTATAGTCATAGTTTAGATTCATTTGCCCCAGACTTACTGTCTGCTTGTTGCCCACACCGAGAACTCCCGGATACTTTTCTATCCATTTCCCGAGCTTGATGAGGTCTCTCTTCATTTTATCTTCATCAGTGCAGAACTGTACCACCTGTACCTGTCACTCTTCAGATTTCATTCTCTATTTCCTTTCCAAAAACATATTCGAATCCTAAGTAATACAGGGACTAGCAATAAGGATAACACCACTTACAAACAAATACTGAAGATCATGAGTTTATTTCCCCTTTCCTTTAAAAAAAAAAAAAAGGCTTTAAGCCTGTCCTCCGCTCATCTACCCCAGGGCCTGACACTTGGTTGTTACTCAGTGAGAGAATAAATGACTAGATTCCCCTTAAAGTCAGTTTTGTTTTGGTTTCATTTGTTGTTGTATAGAAGCAGCCTCTGTTGTACACATTTGTAAGGCCCTCATTCTCCTTGTTCTGCTCAGTGAACATTGGGACTGTAGTGATGCATGGGTTATGTAATTAGATCCTTCTAGAATGTTGGATACTGCACCCAGTCATCCAGTGAAATTTAATTGTTCAGCTTTCTTTTCATCCCAGGTCTTTGTTCCCATATTTAAAATATATTGGGGCACCTGGGTGGCTCGGTTGGTTAAGCATCCGAATCTTAATTTCGGCTCAGGTCATGATCTCACAGTTTGTGGGTTCGAGACCTGCATCAGGCTCTGTGCTGACAGTGCAGAGTCTACTTGGGATTTTCTCTCCCTCTCTCTCTGCCCATCCCCATTCACATTCTCCTCTCTCTCTCTCTCTCAAAAGTAAATAAATAAACACTAAAAAAATATATCAAGTATTTCTAAAACTAACAGTTCCATTTCAATTTTACCTTTAGATAAAACGCTTACATATTTTCCCTAATTCTACCATAGAAGGGGTTTTCTGGGGGAGAAAAGTTCTATACAAACCTCAACTAATAAAGGTTTTTATCATAAGCACTTTTCTCTTCAATGGAGAATTCTGCTATTTTCAAATTATTTAATTAAAAAATTTAACGATTAATGTAAAAAAATTTAAACACATAGAGTCACTAGTAAAAGGAACCCCAACATATACACATGTTCCTGCTTCAACAGTTTTTAGCTGCTCTTGAACTTAACCGTGGTTTGTTAGTTTGTTTTTAACATGCCTTGACATCTATTGTCCCTTCTGCTCCTGAAATTATCATGTTCTTCCTCCTCTTGTGGGGATTTTTATTTTAACCTCTTGTGGCAGGTTGAAAATTTATTTAAGTAATCATAAGCTCCCAACATATCTACCTGTATTATCCACAGAATGACATAGGCTATGGACTTCCTAATCACAGGCTGTTTGAGTGCCATTCTCATATTGTTTGTTACTGGATACTTGTCAATCGTATTTCTGTGAGCAAAGCACTGATTTGCCCTTTGTTGTTTTAAAGGATGTTTATGTGGCAAAAAGCCTTCAAAGTGAGAGGTAGCAGGAATACTCATTGACCATTACAGAAAGATTCTGGGCTCAGGGTTCATCTCCTGTAACTCAGCACTGCACAGGGTGATGTCATCTGGCATATTCCCCTCACCCTGTGGGAACTGGGACTGAGGAGCTGATGTTAAAATGCCAATGCTCTGGCTGTCGCTATTGCTGTAATAAACTCCTTCATCTCTGACCTAGGAATCTTGTTGTTGTTGTTGTTGTTGTTGTTTTTCCTAGCATCCATGAAACTATGGCATGTTAACTTACTGGTTTGCAAGTTGGGTAAATGTCAGACCCTTCACAGTTCTTGACAGTTTTGGCAATGATAGTGGGTGCTGATATAAAAGACACGGCCTTCTGGAAGGGAACGGATGAGTGCCTCACAGGCCAGTTAACAGGATTTGAGGGAAGTCCAGGGGAATCACTAGTGAATGGACTAAATTTTGTGGCCAACTAGGAAATAGATGTTTGTTTGTTTTACTTTGTTGCCTGATAATGACAAGGAATTAGAAAGGTGGTTGCAGGCTGAATATCAGGAAGTAGTTTCAGAGACAGTTGCCTAAGTGCCTTGATTGTTGCTACCTTTCCCCTGGATGGGGGAACTTCCTTACCAACCGAGGAGTCAACACTGAATGTGTAACAGCCAGTGCTAAGATTTATCCTGGGTGGGCAGAAGTTTCCACCCCCATCCAGACAAGTTACACAGACACGCATCCACAAAGAGCATGAAAGGAAGGATATTCGCTACCACCACGGGCAAAAACCAGATGGGTCATTAGAGCTTCCACTGGTCACATGGGGATGAGGGGGTGGGGTTTATAACAGTTATCAAGGAAGAATGCAACAACTGTGCTTTTTGATACCTCAAAGCCTCCTGTAATCTATAATGCTAATTTTAGATCCATTTGGAGATGACAGTAAAAGGTCTCAGAATTTTTTTTTGCAGTGAATCCTGGCTACTATAAGGGAATACTGGCTTTCTTTGGGAGATTTTTTCTGAGACAGAAAAACTCTTGTTTTGAAATGGTTTGAAAAACCATTTATGAGGCACTGACTAGGGTCCAGGCTCTTACTTCTCTGGATTGGGTTTATAATGTTAATAAATGAGAAAGAGAAAATGATCTCTCTCTACCCTCTCTGACCTCAACCACATTAAGGAGAAACCATTAGAGGTAGGGGCTGACGTTTCCCTTCCTATCCCCAAGGAGGATTAAAGGCCATACACATGCATTTCGGTAAGCTGGGGAGTCCTGGAGTGAAGTAAAACTTTTATGACTCTATTGGTACAGAAGCCCAATTCACTATCCTACCTGCATGAGTGGAAGGAAAAGGCATGCAGATTCACCTAATGGAGTTGGGCAGGGTTTATAGTGGGGAAAGGAAGCTAGCCTGACTTTGTGGGTGCTGCCTTTTTAGCCAATTCAATGTAGTGTTGTTGCTGCTTCTACATCTTTTTTGTTGTTGTTGTTAATGTTTATTTCTTTTTGAGAGACAGAGAGAGACATGGCATGAGTAGGGGAGGGGCAGAGAGAGAGGGAGACACAGAATCTGAAGGAGGCTCCAGGCTCTGAGCTGTCAGCACAGAGCCCGACACAGGGCTCGAACTCATGGAGTGTGAGATCATGACCTGAGCCGAAGTTGGACGCTCAGCCGACTGAGCCACCCAGGCGCCCCACTGCTTCTACATCTTAATGTCAATGAGAATTGATGCTTATACTTCTCTGTTCCATAAGTATCAGAGAGGATTCTCCTCAGTTGAGAAGAGGTGCATGTAGAGAATGTTAAGATGACACACAAGCCTTTATAGTGATGCCTAGGGGATTTAGGTACTCCCAGAGGGGCACTAAAAACATATTGGAGGTCTTGCTGTGCAAATGAGACTGACCTACAAGTGCCAGTGGTAAGATGTGCCATTAGTCTGTAAAATGGATCCAGTGGCAGTCACAATGTTTGGCACAGGTGGTGTAATGGGGGCAACAACTGAATTCAGTTGCCAGGATGTATGTATTTAGTGAGCACCTCTACCCTCTAACATCCAAAGCTTTCCTTACGTGATGTCCCGTCAATTGCAAATCAGAAGCCTCAGTTCAACCACTGTGACTACAGTAGTATCATATGTCTCTTAGAGGTGGCTGATAAACCCTGGAAAAATTCAGGGGCCTGCTGACCAAGTAGTTTCTTGAAGCTATGTGGGTGGATTCACAACATTCAATTTTTCTGTCAGTCAAGGAAAAACTGCCATCTCTTTGACAACCTGCCACCAAAAGGATGCCCATGTTGGATACTTTGAGTACTGGAGACAGTGAATGCCTCATTTGGGGATTCTATTTGGCTCTTCATATGGGTTCACTTGCAAATCCACATCCTTTGAGTGGAGCCCAAATGACTAGACTGCATTGGAAGCTATCCAGAAAGTTACAACATAAAGTGTTATAACTTTAACCCATAACTTTAAAGACACCTCTGAGCTAGAAGTCTCTGTGCCTGATGATTTTGTTGATTAGAGCCTCTAGCACAGGGAGGCAGCCTCCACCCAGAGATGCCCCTTTGGGATTTTAGATTCATTACCTTCATGATACAACGATCAGGAAAATTCCTTTGACAAATACTTATTAGCTTGCTAAAACTGAACGCCTGACCCACGGAAGCCTTACAACTCTCTGATGTGATATTCCTATTTTTGGGTGAGTCACCTCAGATTCAGGCCCAACAAGCTTCACTTGTCAAGTGAAAATGGTATATTTAAGAACACAGCCAGCTTGGCCTCAGCAGCTTCTAGACTTTACATATAACAATGGTACCTATTCTTTGGGGGAAAACTGTTCCCCACTATGCCAACTAAGGCAAAGTCACTGGCTCTATAGGGCCCTTAATTCACAGCAGTTTCCCTAAATGCCTGAGCCTCACTATTCCAATAGGCTGAAACTTGGTGTAATTCATAGGGCTGCTATGGTCGTTCAAGTTCAGTGCCAATGATGCAAGCCCAAAATAAAGGAAGTTGCTCTAGTCATTGGGCTGAAATCAAGGCTGTTCTCATAGCAATGGACAATACTGTCCTTGAAGAACTTTGATATACATATTTTTTTACTGACTCTTGGGCCATTGTCAATGGTCTAGCTATTTGATCTGCCTCTTAGAAACTAAAGACTGACAGATTAAAGACACCCCTCTTTGGGGCTATAAACTGTGTGAATAAACTGTGGCTGCTGATAGAACTGTCTGGATTAAGCCCAGGCTAAGAATCTGTTCTCTGCTGAGACTGACTGGACTCAAGTCACTGACTAAGCTAAGCCTGCACTGCCCAGATTTCTACCATCCATGCCTGGATCCATCCCCATAGTAGACATGGAAACACATCTACCATCACAGACTGGGCATAAAGTAAAGGCCTCTATGTTTCTGATGCAGAGGCTACAGCTGCATGCCAGACTTGGAGCTCCTGCCAAAGTTGACTCATTTGTCTCGTAATGAGGGAGGACACATCACCCGGGGCATCGACTCCACCCACTCCTAGTAGACTGACTGCTTTTGGCCTTTCATTCCCTCTCAGCGTTACCCACAGGACCTCACTTCTATTGATACTTTTTCAGGTGATGGTGTTTTTGTTCTAGTCCGGTCAACAATTCTAGCCACACTGCTGTTGCCCTTGAAACTAATCCATATCAAGTTTTTGGCTGTCTGGACCATTT